AACTTTCATAGACTTATTTAGTCACTGATCAGTTTTCCGTTTATGGTTAAGTGCATGTTTTTCCCCTGTAGCTGGAGGAGAACGCTAAATTATGGGGAAGACAGAAACAAGAAATGTTGACCAAACTGAGCGAGCACAAGCACGGCTTTGTCCGAACCGCCACCACAATCCTTCACAATGTTCCATCGGTCAGTTCACAGTTAGCCCTCATTTTACAAACTGTATTGCATACAATTACTATATAAGACTTTAACCATACTTCTCTCTGCTTCTTACAGAAGGCTGTTTCAGATTCTTTACATCAGCAAAGAAGACAGAAGAAGCAGAAACCTGTAAAATGACTGCAGATGAACTACTGAACTCTTTATCCGAACCAAAAGTGACACACAAACCTTCTCTGTGTCTCTCACTGATTTAAATATGGAGTACAATTACATATAAAAACACATACTCTGTATCAGTTCTATTGTTTATTTATCACTGGTTTGTACAGAAAATAAAATGTTTATGCCATGTACAGGTGGAATAAATGTACAACATTCCAGTTTTCCAAGATATTGTGCACACAGACTACATGTCCATCCTTAATCAAATTATTCATTAAGCAATATACAATACATATAAATACTTTGTTTACTAGTCATGGAATTGCTGAGGTAATTTTTCATCCCCGTTTTTAGCTTTTTCTTTCCTAATGTTTTTTTCTTGCTCTCGTCAGGCCCTAAGTTGGAAGATTTTATTCAGTGTTTATATTGTGGTGCCTCATGAAGCCCTTTATCACAAATACCTGTGATAAAAGTCTTGGTAATGAGCTTTACTTACCATGCACCACTTTTTTTCCCCCCCTAAACTTGAAGTTACCGACTAGCTTGGAGAGGTTTCAAAGTCAATATTATGGGTTTTTCTGGCAAGAGAATGAGCTCAAAGGTACTCTGCACCTCCACGTGGCGCTGTTTCTCCACCCTGAAGTTCTCAAGCATCTGCAAAAACAATGTAGGAGGTTAATATGACGTGTAGCATTCCACATATTATGGGGAAACTTCTCTTTGTTATCTGTAATGCTTACATGGATAAGAAAGATCTGCATCTCTGTCTCAGCTATCCTGCGTCCTAAACACTGGCGGGGGCCGAACCCGAAGCCCAAACTCCTGAAGTAGTGACTCTCTGTCCTCAGCCAGCGAGAGGGCTGATACTGCTCCGGACGGAAAAACACCTTGGGGTCTCTGCCCATCGCAAACAGTCCCAACTGGACCAGAGTCTAAACATAAACAAACAAAAAAATGCATTAAGGTCAGAAGGACTTGCTCAGTTTCTATGTAAATATTCAAATGCAAAAATGTATTTCAATGATTTCAATGTTTAACTGCCTCTTACCCCGGCTGGGATGTGGTAGTTTTGAATAATGATGTCCTCTGCTATGTATCTTTGCAGGCTCACTGCAACTGGATGCAACCTGAAGTATGAAAGTGTAAACTCTTAATTACAGGAAACATTTCTTTTGTGAATAAATATAGAAGATGCACATGTTTTAGTGAAATATGTATTTTTACTGTTGTGAAAAGAGGCAAAGTTCGAAACTTCCAAAACAATCATGAAATTTAAATTTTCGATCCAATAAAGAAAAGACTATGGTTATAAATAGTAGATTATTTTACAATCATTCTAACACAATCTGCATTTTGTATAGTTGATGGTCAGATAATCTGCTGCTTCCAACTCTGCAGCATAATACACAACACTATACAGCTTAGTATTTCCTTTACCTCAGTGTTTCCTTCAAAGCACCTTTGACCAAAGGAATCCGCTTCAGCATCTCTTGCATGTCTCCGTTGCTTTCAGCCCGAGCTGCAGCCACCTCCGCCCTCAGCTCCTCCTGGAGGTTCGGGTGTTTGGCTAATTCATACAACGTCCATAGCAGTGTTATAGAAGTCTGCAATGCATAAACAGAAACAAACAGCATGAAAAAGCCCCAAAGGAAGTCTGAATTAGAAAACAAGTCTTAACTGGAAAAGAATCATTTTCGTGATTTGCTCTCTTACTGTATCTACTCCTCCAGCCATCAGCTCAGTGACACTGGCTTTAATGTCTTCAATGGACAGCTTGTCCAGCATGAGCAGGCTGGCCAGGACTCCTGGGTATTTGTTTGACGTGCCTGTCTCCTGACGCAGCTGCCTGTAGATGTTCTGGATGCAGCGATCCGCTAATGTACCAAAAGGATATAAGGGTAAATATAAAAGTGGTTTTCAGTACATACATGACATACATTACCACTAAGGTAGAAAAACGCTGAATAAGTGAAAAGCATTTACATAAAATCTCTACTGATATCAAAAGCACGCTGTAAATGAAGAGTTCATTTGCAAAAACAGATAACTCCATCTTCAAAAACCTCCATAAACCCACTTTTCCATCATCTACCTGAGACAACATCAATCAAACTTAAGTTATCTCTATTTTTGTCATGTCTTTCTACTGGGTCAAATCCACTCAGCTTCAGCTTGATTGATATCATCTCAAGCAAACAACAAAAAAAAAAAAGTTTTCTGAACATCTACAAAAATGGAGTTACCTGTTTTTTGCAAATGAACTCTTCAAATGTGTATTTTGTTTTCTACCTTGGTTAAATATCCCATCCCAAGCCTCCTCATGGTCTCGCCACACCTTCGCTCCAATCTTCCTCAACAGAGTAGGAGGTATGTACAGCATGGGTGAGGTAGTCTTGAACATGAGGGTGATGCAGTCAATGAAACGTTGAGCTTCAGGGTCAATGTAGTCCAGCATCAGACCCAGTCGCTCCCCGTACAGCACCGAGCTCACCGCTGGGGAGGACGGAGAAGACATGAGACACAGAAAAGGGGCACTGCCTGCAGAGTGAGTGGAGCAAACTAAGATTTAATATAAGGAAGAATAAAAGTCAGTCTTACATTCGAGTGCATATTTGAAGAGTTCCTGAGAGAGGTCAGCGGTCCATTTGTTCTGGCCGCTTCGCTCGATCTTTTTGTGAATTCTGGCCACAAAATCTTGGCCCACATCATCCAGCAAAGGTACAAAATTTTCCAGCATTTTTAGGGAAATCACCTCCTTGTTAAGTATCACACGGTTTGATCTCCAGTCTTCTCCATTCCTGCAAGATGATTTAAATTGGTAGGCACAAACTTGTGATGTTGATAAAAAGGACCAGTTCTGTCAAAGTATCTAAATATTAGTAAAACAGAATGTATACAAGTAGAAGAGGACAATAATAGCACATACTTCAGTAAAACCCCATATTTGCGATTTCTGTTGTCTCGGTAGGACGTCCACGCTTCAACTTTCAGTCTTTTAGGATAATGGCCCTCTGCTTTGAACAGGATGGCAGCATCCTCAGGGTTGATGATGTTTACACTTTCGTAATAACCTATTTTTTCTCTGACAGACAAAACGCAAGAGAATAAAAGGGGATAAAATGTCACATCAGCTGCTGGGTTTTAGAATACGTGACCTTGTCCAATGTTGGATTTCATCAACAAAAAAAATGTTTATATTCACACCACAGAAGATTCAAACTAGTGACGTCATTTAAATTCATTTGTGTTTTGTCTGATGATTAACGTCACATAGCACTTTTATCATCTTATTTAAGACACATCAAACCGCCTCGCCTCCTGTACCTGTAAATGGGTCCAAAAGTGTTGAAGTTCTGCAACATGATGCGGTGAAGGTTCCTGAAGCCATCCAGTTTCCAGAAATTGTACAAGTTTGCCAAACCGTTCTTCCACAGTCCAGGAATCTCATTGAAAGGCCTGACGATGCTGCTGCTCCCCGAGTACGCATGTCTGATCACCGGCACGCTGCTGCTGCAGCGAACACCTGATGCTGTCAGCTCCTCTATCCAGGACCGAGGCACCACAGGGCTGCGCCACACGTTCCACCTGGCCATCGCAGCAACAAAAATGCTCACTCTGCTCTACCTTCCACAGCTACTCTGGCTCTCCCAGGGACATCTGATGCAAAAGAAGGAGGCAGGAGGCTGGTCTACAGAATCAGCCCCCCTTGCTGTGCTGATCAAGGATTTCTAGTTGAACTTAACAGCCCAACAAAATACACCACAGCAAAATATGTCTGTGAATGGCCCTGTTGAGCTGAGTTACAGAATCTTTTATTATGTTTCACAGCATCTTACAAGTATCTTTCTATAAACAGTATGTGTCAGAATCTGTTAAAACTTAGACAACTCGAATTACGTCTGAAGACCTTCAGAAAGTATGCTGTCTTTGTAAACAAGCGTTTGCTTTGATTTGTGGGAAAAAAGAAAGGACCATAGCAGAAATTCAGTCAAATGTATTCAGTGCATACACGAAAAACATGTACTTTACAGTTAAAATGAAAGATTTAATAAATACCAAGCCAAAGCTACTGTAAATACTATTTCTTAAGTAGCTTTATGAGTTCCTCCAGCTTCATGGCTGTGTTCATGTCTCCTTGGACTTTCAGTCTGCCACTGGTGTAAGCAGAAAACGGTCGTAGCTCTCCCTGGAACATGGCCAGAAGGTCGCAGTCACTCATACTCAGAGTGACATCTGGCTCCCGAATCAAGGACCCTGCTCCAGCTGCACCGCTACCTACAAAGTGCACAAAAAGCAGCAGAGCTATTCAATATTATTGTAACTGTCTACTTGTTCACAGTTACCTTAAACACTAAAGTAATAAGAGTAAGCTTTAGCACAGCTTGCATTAGATACTGGGATGTATCTTATAATTCTGGTTTCCATCACCTTGGCTCAAATCCACATAGTAACTGCGCTGTTGTCCATCTCCTGAGCTGATATCGAACTGGAAACAGGCCCCAACCTGCTGGACTAAAGACTCAGAGAGCAGCAGCTTCACGCCACTGAGCAGCTCTTCAACAGAACCTGGAGTGGTGACGACAGCCTGAGGAGCATCGCTGAGCTCGTCTGCAAATGTTATTCTGTCTTCTGAAGAGAAAGAAGCAAACATTATAGTGCATTTTGTAATAAGTGCAAAAAATCAGTTGTGAGTGTTTGGCCTTACGCTGTTGAGGATGTGAGCTGCTGCCTTGGCTCAGAAAGTGCATGGCCAACTGCTGAATGGGACCAGTGAGGCCTTCAAGTCCAGGCACAGACGGAGGCATGATAAGGGGTCCAGAGGGGCCCTCCTCTGGGGCTTTCAGTAGAGAACCCAGGGTAAGTTCTACCCTATCCACCTCCAGCCCCCAAGGACGAGTCATCTCATTTATGTCCATCTGTGGGGAAGAGGAACAAATGTAAATGCGAAATGATAAAAGGGAAAAAGACAGAAAAGAGTCGTTGCAGTGTCGTCTCACCCCGAGATAGTCCCCTAGTTTCACTCTCTCAGTTTGGATTTCCCTGACAGTCTTCTTGGCTAGGCTGTGGGTCAACGCATTCTGAGCAGTCATCCTGGTGGAGGCATTCAGATCCTGGACGGACACCACTGACATGACGGGGTTCCAGATCCTAAACTGGATGTCTGCGCCGACTGACAACACACCTCCATCCCGAGTAGTCACCTGTGGTAGCAGGGTTACATTTCATATTTAATGGACTTGGACTCAACACTGACAAGAGAAGAAAGACCATGGAAACATCAACCCTCCACTGAACAATATTCACTTAGTTAACAAACACTGACTGCTAAGAAGAAAGGTTTTTGAAACATCAAGAAATAAGGAAATGTCAGTTTAAAAAAGTCGTTTTTTAAATCCTTGTAATCTAAAAAGAAAAAAAAAACATAAAATCAAAACTTTGGCATTATCCAGGATAATGAAATTCGTGGGGCTAAGACTAAAAGGCTAAGCTGTTTGAACACGAGAAGGAAGATGCATCATATTCAGCATACAAAATAAGCTTCATGTACTGAAAGTTTGCTGTTTGTATTGTCATTTTTAGAAAGCATATATTGATATGCAGTCACACGTAATATTTAAAGATATCGCAGTGTTAGATTACTCTCTTCACATTGACACTGATCAACAGTGCACCAAGACTGCCACCTGTAGGACAAAGCACAACATTCACAACTAACAGAAATAATCATATATCCAATATGGCTAATGAGCCACGATGACACAGTGATAAAAGAAACAGCTTCCATCTGTGCTCGGGTTTAAGTCGAAAACGATTTAACTAATATTGTGCACAAGTTTGGATTGTAAACACAATCAGAGAACAAGAGATCAAAGAGATCTAAAAAATAAGCAAACTTTTGGTAGACTGTGGTCTGACAAATAAAAGGGCAAACAGTAATAATTCTTTAACTAATAGCAATTAAGATGGAAAGATGTTCCTACATCTACAGATCATGTCAAGTGACTTCTTCGGCACTACTGTCAGACAAATATTAGGAATATTAGGGTGAATCACATACAAGAGAATCTCTGGTCCCCAGAAAAGAAGTGAATAATACAAACGTTTAAGTATTTGAACCAATAAATGATTTCCAATAAAGCTGTTTTGTGTTCAGGAACATATTGGTTTGGTAAAGACTATATGGAAGAAAAACTGTTGCACAATTTGTCCATTTCAATAGTAAAATATGTGGAAGTTTACCTGGCAGGGAGGGATGTTGAAAGCACGGGTGCGCAGGTCGACTCTCTGCCACTGGTCAATGAGGGGCAGGACAAGGACAATACCAGGACCCTTCGGAGGACAAATTCGACCCAGACGGAATACTACTATCCTCTGGTAGTTCGGCACCGTCTACGTGTAAAATTAATCAGAGTTGGTTGTTTTTGTCCTCAACAAGTGAATGGAGCTGCAGTGGGTGTAAATGACAAGAGACAACTTCATCTTACTTTCAGCACAAACCATCCTGTTATTGGAAAGGCTATGAAGGTGCAGATGTAGATGAGGAAGATGACAATCAGGTTGCAAATCCACGACAGCCATCCTTGGGAGGTGTCTAAAGGAAAATAAAAACAGAAATGGGTATTTTCAGTGTTCTAGTCATGAGGAGCACAACCTGTAAAAATAGGATCATGATGTTGGCTTTAAGAGGAGGCAACAACATTTTATCAAAACCCTGAATTGCTAAAGTGTGGATTTGGAAAGATGTGCTTTTGTTCTTTAATGTTCTTTATTTATAACCATTAGCGAATACATACATTTTCATACAAACAGAGCACCACAGTAACGAGCAATATTGAGCCTTTATTGGCTCCAAGTTTTTTCTGTTTTCCATGTATTTGGCCAAAGTGCCACATTGTTTACAGCAAACATTTTAAAGCAATTTGACAATTTATAGATGTGGAGTTTATCATGAATGATCAGAAGCTGAATTATGACTTTGATATTATTCAGCTCAGTGAACACACACTATACAATCACTTCAAATACATTAATCTGCACCACAGTAGCAAAAAACAAAACAAAACAATGAAATATTGTTCTTCACAGACATTGAATATATTTAGCTTAAATCTGGCCAATGTATCTTGAACAGGCTAAATTGGATAAAAATCTTAAAGGAACTTTAGCTAAATGCATTACAATATGGTGTGATTCTACATTGTTATACTCTTTAGATATTTTATTGGAAGTTAGTGGCTGTGGACTGTGGTTCACCAGGCTGCAAGGCAAATATGGTTCAGGAACAACACAACACACCAAAACACATGCTACCTTTATTGGTAAGCCAGTTACTTACCATTAAAGTTGTTTTCAGATACATTGGGGATGTAGTCAAAAGAAAGTCCTTTGTGGTAGCTGTGCTGACTGAAGCTGTCAGAGTCCACAAACAAACCAGGAGTCCTCGGAGTGGCGGAGTCTCTCTGAGGGAGCAGCTGGTACGACTTGCTAAACATAGTTAAATAAAATAAAGGTAAGTTCTTACTCAAAGCTACGTCATATTATTTATCAGTCTGCAGGTGTCAAGACACAAACGCCTCGTCGAGGTGTGAAAAAGTAGTTTCAAGACACTCTACTTTAGCTCATCTTGCTAATTAACTGGCGTGACACTTCCGTGTTTTGCTGCAGCTCTTCTTCGTGGAGCTTCCTGCTGCTGCTGCTCGTCATCGCCACCTCACGTCCATGTGGCGCAACTGCAGCTTCCTCTGCAGGTCAAGGCTGACCTGTCATGATCTCCTATTTCAAATATTTTAGTGGCCAAAAGTTACTGAATTGTAAAAATTATTTATTATATTTACGCTATTTATTTTTTAAAACAAATTCCTTAGCTATAATAAATATTGTCTTATTGCAAAGTAGACTCATTTTGTTAGATCCCACCCAACACTGCACTGAGCAAAAACATAAATGCAGCATGCAAAATGGTTTTGTTTTCAATACTACCTTTCTGATGGACTCTAAGGGAAAAGCTGTCAAATCTCATTTTCACTGTTACAGTTGGAAGAGGATTTAATTTAGCCAATTGTGCATGAAAAGTTTTTGAGCTGTTCAACCGGTGATAAATTCTCAAACACTGAGATGCTCTACATTCTAGTCAGGTGTGGCTTTAAAGGACAATGATAGGACAGTGAGACCAGCACACAGACACTCCGTAGTCAGTGACTATAAAAAACATCTCACCTGTAGCTTTATTCAAATGATGCCACAGATGACAAGAGAAAGATGAGAACAGGCTGTTGGCTGCTGGATGCTGGCTGTCAGTAAAGGTCATCGCCAGGCACTTGAATATCCACAACCACACCAGGTTGTCATCTAAAAAATTATTTCATGGACAGCATGGTACGACAGACAATCTGCCAACATGATGCTGTCCCCCAAAATTTCTGCCAACTTCACTGAGCCCTTCAGGAAGAGTGGGACAACATTCAACAAACCAGCATCGACAACCTCATTACCTCTCTGCATCGTAGATGTGTGATTCGTTACTGACTTGTGATTTCTGTTCTATGGTCCCACTGTTGTCCAGATGCCATGCATTGAAACAACAGCTATTTTTACTCCTATGTTAAACAGAATGGTTAGGATTTAATGAACTGCTACATGCCGCAACACAAAATAAACGTTTCTGATTAGAATCCCAGGAATTAATCTTTTAAAGAAGATGTGTATGGAGTCGGACAGTTGAAAAATAAACTTTCCAGAGCCCAGTTGTTTTCATAGTTACCTCAAATATCTCTTTGTTATTTCTGTGCTGCAGTTTTGTATTTCATATTGTGTACCTTCTTACTGCTACTGTAATAACATGAAATTGCCTTTTAACATCATCCATATCATGAACAAATCTCTTATGAATATAAATAATTTATTAATTAAAATAACTATATGATGTTCAAATGTATATGTTACAATGTCGCTCATAGCATTATTTGGAATATGTAATGTTTACTGTTCAATTTCTGTTGTCAACCGAAAAAAAAGGAGAAGAAATTACTAGAGATAATAAAACTTGACAAATTAAGCAAATACAAAATGTCTATTTATTCAGGACAAATTCTTAAATTCACACATGTCTTCGTCCTCACATTCTGTGACTTTAAAAAAAAAAAAGCTTTATTTTGCCACTCAGTACCTATGTGCTACAAAATGATCATGTAAGTCGGTGCTTAACAAAAACATAAAAGGAGAAACTGTAGCATGTATAATTAGAATGCCATCAATCTCAACAGGTCTCTTTCACCACATTTCAATTGTCGCAGTAGGATAAGCATAAGATAATATTAATGATGTCTGTTGAGGTACCCCGCTAAGTCAGCGCAACAGTGAATCAGCATGAATGTTACCAAGACACTGAAATTGAAGAAGCTACTGGTTCATTCAGTCACCGCTGGTTTCATAATTTACAGCTGTGTTTTCCTACGGTGACATTTCAAAATGTCTTCAGTAACAAACACCTTTCATGCTGAATGAACATATTAAGCAGAATATATGAGATAAACAGTCAGGAAACGCGTTGCTTGCGTCTGTTCTTGTTCAGTTTTTGAACATGTCACACAGCAGCTTCTCCATGGGTGTGCTGCCGATGGTCCTGTGAAAGAACAGCTGCTCTACTTTCTCAGAGCTCACAAAGTGGAGGGACGGCAGCAGAAGCAACAGTCTCCCAAACCTGGTTAGACAAGAACAGATGAGCGTGAACGTCATGTTTCTATATTGCCAAACTTTACGCAGTGCAGCTGTTCTTCAGGTTGAAAATCTTTGTATTCTGTCAGAAAAGAGAGCAGGGTCACCTGGCGCTCTGGTTGGGGTAAAGTGAATGGATGTGCTGACCCAACAGCACCTGTGACTGGTCCTGCAGATTCTCCACCTGTTCTGGGTCTTTGAGGCTGCGGGTCTCTGCACCGAGGAGTCAAACAGCAGACATCAGTTACACGATCCACTCAACAATGACCAACACTGCTGGATGAATCATTCCTTACCTGGCTTGAAGAGCACAATAGCTTTCAGGCAGGCAAACTCAGTAGGATCAACAGCCAGGGCCTTGAAGCGGCTGAAGACCTCCTCCAGGATCTGCAGGTCAGCCGTGGGAAGGCTGGTCTTGGTCTGCTGTGTGGGGGAAACATCTGGCAGAGACAGAAGAGGACAGCTGTCCATGGGCAGGGACCACTGGATGGCACACAGGAGGAACATCTCACTCCAAGCTTCTTCAAGAAGAATCACCTGTGGAAGTCACAGAAGTACATGTTGTCAGTCTCACACATGATCCGTGTCTGAACTAGTTCAGGAAACATACTGAAATAATCATCCAGTCTTACCTGGTCTCGAAATGGCAAGTGAGCGAAAAGAGGCAAATTTTTTGCCCACTTGACTGACATGAAGAGGAGTCGTGCTGCTGTCTCGTACACACTCTCTGAGCAGCTGGAGCTGTATGGGGATGTGCAGCTGCCAAAGGGAGTCCGGTCCCTCTCTGAGTCATTTGTTGTCACATCAATGTTTTCCTCCACTGTGCATTTAAAAAGAGATTCAGGCAAATATTAAGAAAACTGAGTCCAACATTGTTCAATTTAAAGATACAGCAATCCAAATACCAACCCAAAATCATAAACATTCATTTCAAAATAATTAAGTCTAAACTAAATAGAAAGGTGTTTTTCATTCAAATTTTACATAATTTCACAACCCTTCATATGATCTTACCGTCCTCTGGCTCTAGTTTTGCACAGGTCTCTGCAGTCAGCAGGCTGACCATAAAGCGGTGGTTGTTATTTGGGTTGCTGCAGGGTTGCATGGCAGCTGAAGTGTTGACAGATGAAGTGACCAGAGGTCTACAGATGACCGATGAGTAGGCGTCAGAGGAGGTGAGCTCCTGTGTGGTGGCCAAGTGCTCCTTTTTCGTGTCCACGTTTATAGAGTCCAGGCTGACGTGTGCTGTGCTTCGAGGCTGCCTCTCATTCTGCACGGCTGCCAAAGTGGATAATATATGATTAATACATAAATGGTACATGCACAGAGAACATAATCTGCTTGGTCAGATTATTTCCCACCATCTTTGTTCATGCCAGCTTGGAGACACTTCTTCAGTCGACAGGCTTGGCACTGGTTCCGGTGAGCCTTGTCAACAGGGCACCTGCCAGTTCCAGCCTGACATCTATATGACATTGGCAAAAGACAAGTAGATTGTTAAAGTTCATACAATTAATTGTCATATGAGTTATAGTTTTCCATTATTCAAAGTTTGTCTCACACCATAAAATTGTATGCATTCATTCCATTGTGCTTCTTGCTCACCTGTAGATCAATCTTCGTCTCACACTGCGTTTGAAGAAGCCGCTGCAGCCATTGCAGGCGTATATTCCGTAGTGTTTGCCGCTGCTTGAGTCAGAACACACTTTACAGAGCAGGCCCTGGACAAGTGCTTTGCGTGGACTCCTCTCTGTGGAGCACAAATGGCAGAAATGAATACTTCCATTGTTGAGTCTTTTGAGCAATAACCATGACAGACTCAGTTAAATCAGTTTTATCAACTCACTTATTCATAAACTTTCAACTTGGTTTGTATTTAAGCCAATATTAAATTCAATATTTTCATTCTTTGTATTTTTCTTTTCTGCTTCGTTGTATTCTATAAAGTGTGTGACTGTTGTGAAAGGTGCTGTGTGTAAAAATTAGAAATCTGAGCATGTAGCCTACAGTAGAGAAAAGTATTTTTGCTTGATATGCCATTATGTGAAACTTTATATTAGCGTAAATATTATAACAATTAATGACTCACCTGCTTGAGTTCCATCTGGGCTCTGCTGTGTGAATTCATCAGAGTTGTCCGATGAAAACGAATTCATTTTGATCATGTGCTCCTCCATATTGACTTCTGTCTCAATAAACTGTTGTCGACAGATATGAGATGACTCCTGGGCGTATTTCCTCTTTTATATTAAATGTTTTCTGCGTAGTTGTCCGTCAGGATCAAAGTACAGCACATGACAGTTCCACAGCAAACAGAAGATTTTAAATCTGTAGTTCTCTCCACTGATTCACATGCAGCCTCTTCAAAGATCCTCAAAGACGAACTCTGGGATGCTCACTGATGTGGATCCAGTGCTGATGTCCTTCTTGTTTCTTCGGTCAGTGAAGTTCCAACTTGTCCTCTTCCTCTCAGCCAGAATGCGTGTGAGAGCTTGAGTCGTCCAGAGGCTTTCTGGAGGAAGACAAGGAGATTAGCACCAGGCGCTGTGTAAGCAAATGCTGATTTGTCATCCTCTTAATCTTTACTGTCTATAAGGGTAAATCAATCAGTCACACCTCTTATGGGCACTAATGATATTCAACAAAGAAAAAAAAAAAGCAAAAGGGTTCATCACCTCTTTTGGCTGTCAGCCACAGTACTATCAGAAATTATTCTGCTACACTCACTCGTCATGAATTAGTCAGCAGGGACATTGTAATGTAACCAAGGTCCCCAAATTGTACAGTAATCAACTCAGTTACTTCCAATCAGTGTCAGTCTTCGTTTATCGTGTCATTTTTCTTTGTTGATCATCTATTTCATTCTTATTTCCACATCAACTCATACTGTGTTATCATTCAGCATTCTCTCTGTTTATTCATCTGCAGTTGTTTGTTAAATAGTTTGGTAGTTAGTTTATTTTTTAATTATACATCTGGAACATCTGACCCGCATGAGATTACAAGACACTGCAATTTTACAAAAACATTTGACTTTTTTTTTTGTTTTGTTTTGTTCTGGTGTTTCCAACCTTGTGTTTATAAAAAGAAAAGAATTCCAGAGATGTCCCATCAACAAGGCTTTGCTTTAACAGCAGTATAGTTATGTATTGTGGTATGTGTAAAACAACACCAAATAGAATTGTGTCAGTTCTATTCTAAACATGACTTACAGCTAAAGTTATCATGACACCTGACTGACACCAGTAGAGAAGAAATATCACTGCAATGATATAAAAAGTCATTGCAAAAATGAAAAGCTTTAAACCACTTTGCGTTTAAAGTTCACTTAATGCATGTAAGTAGCCTTTTGTTGTGTTTTAAACCATTGTGGGTCTGTTTCCCATTAAGTGTGTACAATATATTTGTATTAACATGATTTAGTGTTGCATTAAAAAAGAAAAATGTGTGTACAATCAAATTAAAAATGGCGATCCTTGTTAAAATCATCCTTGAGTCACCCACTGCTGCCCACAGCACTGACTTCAGGTTGTAGAAGGTGAACTATTTGAACTGTGGATTATTTATTCCAATCTTTGTCCACATATTTAAATTTTATTATATGTAGCCACGTAAACAGGGTGATCTTAGACCATAGCTGAGGCATTCCCTCGGCGCCATATTGGCCCTGTCAGCGACGCTAATGGCCTCAGGAGAACACAGCCACCCCAAATCAGCAAAGTAGCTTAACCCTCCATGAAATGTGGTCAACTTCTTGGAGGGGGATCACGAGAGAGGGCGATGAGAACAAAAACAATTAGGACAGAGATTGAAAGAGCAGCAACAAGTTGACCCTTAATTCCACTGCTCTGCCATATGGTGGCTGCTCTCTGAAGCCTCCGTCCCACTAATTAATGACTCAGAGTGCACTTTACTAGTCATAAAACTCAAACAGAAAACTATACTTCCTGTCTTCTCTGTACAACACGGTGAGTGACAACAAGAAAGCGACAAAGCCCTCAACACGTTTATTTGCTATTTTCTTTACTGAACTGATAACATTTAATGCCTTTTAATTTGACCAAAAGTAACAAAATCACTTGAAACACTGATGTCTGCTCTGTCCACAGATGTCTGACATTCTTAAGTCACTCTTGAGTTTAAGAGGCCACCTTAGTAGTAAAAACAGAGCTCTTTCTGTTGGCCAAAACTGGTGTATAAAAGGATTACAAACTGGGGGAAGTCTAAACCTGGTTGTTGTTCACATGGGACCAGTTGAACTCAGAGGTTATGCTGTCTGAGTCATTTTTGTATTCCTGGAATGAGAACAAAACCGTACAGATTTCAAAGCTTCTAACAGTTACAACAGAGTAAACTAATAGTACATTATTTAGTGGCTTTATATTGTGCACCTCACTAATACAGTACATCACCTGGGGAAAAACTGACTGTCAGTCTTACATCATCACATTGTCTTACACTTAACTGCTGCTGCTAGTTTACAAATATAAGATAATTGTCAGCATTACAAGTATGAACACATTAAAGTTGTATACACACAGATACTGATTCCTAATCATCCTTAATCCACCTCGGCCACCTTGTTGTCCTGAGAATTTCTCCTGCACATTATTTCTTGTTATGCTATTACTACTTTATAATATACCATTGTTTGCTATTACTGTGTTATGTCTGGCATATTTTGTATATTATTCTACTGTCATTGATTTTATTCTATTTTCACTTTTGTTCAGAGCCATTCTGATGCATTTTGTTACACTCCTTGACAGACAGCTAGTTAAGAGAAAAGCTTACATTGGATGTAATAAACAGAGTTTGGGGCATTTAAGCAAATTAAACAGACTAGATTACATGATGCAAACATACTATGAACTACTGCACAATTTCCAGCAGGATAAATTTACACTGAAAACAGCGTCTAAACCAACTAATAAATCCAAATTGCATATTTATAGTGAAGCAGTGTGGCAAGGTAATCCTGTATGAGAATAGTAACACAAGTGTTGCTCACGTGTCAAAGGGAGTTGATTATTTAGGTCTTAACGCTACAGAAACTTCCCATGTAAAGTTGTTAGAGAAAACTAATTCAAACCTTTTAAAATGACTCAACAATCCTACTAATGTCTGCCAGTTAGTAAACTATGCATAAACTAAGCTTTCCATAGCTGTGAATCTTTTAATAGCTCTAAATCCTACATTTCCTTGTCTTTTTTTGGATGCCTCTCCCTCCAGTTGTTGGCGCGGCTAAGATGCTGCAGCCATCAGCAAAGTGCTGCTTTGAGGTTTTACCTGCCAGGGATAACTGTCACGTTTCTTCACCCTCCAGCCCTGTGATTGTTGCGCAGATACAATCTTTAGCAGCAAGCTGCCATGAGCCAACTGGATGATTATGTATTTAGTGGAAGCTTTTATGATGACAGAGCCCTGCAGGTGACTGAACACACGTCACTACTAAAACCCTCCCTCACTTGCCTGTCAGATCAAACAGATCAGCTATTCATTACTTTAACCCTCAACTGTAAGGGTTATTTTTTGTTGTCACACAGTATTTTAAAGTGTCATTTGTACATATTGTGCATATCAGATACTTTTCAACGCCTCTGCAGTGCATAAAACTTTGGAGGCACCACAGCAGCCACGCATGTGCAAGGCATAATTTTATCGTCCTTCAGAAGATGTCCTTGCATGCTAGTTCACAAATCTTTGCATCAGTCTAATCAGCTTTTTGATATAATCTCCTTGAATGTCAGCTATTGTCAAAGAGTGAGATTAACTTTTAAAGTTGTCGTCGTTCTCTTTATGCGCAGATAGCAAGCGCTTCAAGGTTGCTAAAGAACAAGATATGTCACAACTGATGACATTTACTTTTTGTTAAAAGTTGAGTCACGAGCTTTAAATCCAAAAAACTAACTATAACCATGACAACTTTTGGCATTCATCAAAAAGCAGATCTCACTGAAATACAATAACACAATACAATACAATACAATAATTATCCCAAATGATAAGAGTAAATAAAGCATCCATTTAGGGGGGAAAAAAACACTCTGTTAACAGTATAAGCTTTTGGTTACACCGCACTCAGCATGTCTGCTTGATGCCAGGTGATACCAGGCTTGCTTGGTTAAGCTTTGTTATGTTCAGTTCAGCATTTCCTGTGGTCCCCCCGCCCCCCCAAGTCAGATGAAGTACAAGGATTGAGGTGTCAGCACTATGGCTACCAGGGATTGCCCCGCCTTGCCATCTGCTGCCATTACTGTAATCCACACAATGAGAAAATCAGTTGTCTCAGTTCATATCAAAGTCATGTCAGCTCAGCTCCACAGGTGAATGAACACCAGTGACAGTTAAAGTCCGTGTTACTGCTGACAAAAGAAATCAAGACGGCCATTTGTCCACGAACCAAAAAGCTGTGATTCTTTGGCACAGATGAAGTGTAGCAACAAAATGTATAAACTATTAAAATAAAAATTAAATCTTTAAAGTGTGAAGTGATTTATTTCCTCCAAGGTGAACTCATAATTTTCTCATAATATTATCCAGGCACTTTGACTTCTGTTTTAGTTCACGATGCCCGTATTAAATATGTAAAAGAAGGCCTAATGTCTTCTCCAGCACAAAGACCTTATAAGCTTTACAGTAAATAGCAAAAAATAAAAATAAAAGTACTGCTAACAGCCCCTATGAGGTCATACACCAAACCAAAACTTCTCCGCGACATTTCCTTTCTAAAATACAAACCCATCATCCACACAGCCACATGCTGGCTGGTCTGTAGAGGGAGACAGAACCTCTTTGACTGAGTCATCAAAGTGTGGTTACAGGCAGCGTGGCTAATCAGCGCTGAGTAAACCCACAGCACAGTTCTTGGAAAATCAGTTGAGTGCAATCCTCAGAGCTGTGATTAAGTCACTGGGATGTGCTATTTGCTCTCATTCTTCCCACAGAGAGTTTGTTTGTTGCTTTATTCTTTCCAATGAATCCCAGTTGCAACACACTAAAATCATTTCTGGAGTTTTTTTAAATTAGGGTGGTGTCAGTGCAGCTTATTTGTAGGATTTTTTTGTTTTGTTCCTGTATTTATTATATTGCCTTAGTTTGTATTCTTGGCACTGTCAAGGCAAACGCAGGCCTCACAGGAAGGGTCTCCAATCTTACCTCCAATCTTTTCCTTGGCCACTTAAGTACTGTAACAAAAGAGCTGGGTTCTTAACATTTGCTGTCAGAAAAAAAAGACATCATTAACCCCAAAGAATCCTCCAGTTTCTTTCTAACAGAATATTTGGGGTTCAATACAGCGTGATACCAAGATAGGTACTTAAAAAAAAAACCTCTACATTGTTAAATGAGTTATTATCACTCATGTTGTTATCACTGTCAAGAAAACACCTCAAGCTTACCTTTTTCCTCAGAATTTTTCCCAGAAAACATGGTTGTTTTTTTCAAGTTTGACTTTGCGTGTTATATTGTAAGAACTGGGTTCAGGAAGCAGACACTTTCTCTACTTTTAACTTCTTAAACTTATAGTAAGTCAGTTTTTTCCCCCTATAGGTTGTAGTATGTTGACAAATATTGTACAGTTGTCTGCTTCTCCGAGAAGTATTTTACATTTTGAGAGGTCATTTAACACGTTGAAATCAGAAATCCCAGAGTTGACCTTGTTAAACTGACATTTCATTGAATGTTTTTTGATGTAGGAGTAAGTGTATCTCTGTCTCCTGGTTTCAGCTTTTTGTACAGAGCTAAGCTAAGCTGTCTGGCAGCAGTAAAAACAAACAAACAAAAAAACGATGTTTCCCAAGATGTCAAGCTATTTTGTGAAGGACTTTGTCTCTTTTCAACATTGTTAAATGGGTACGATTAATCTATAGCCAGACCAATACGTTAGATGACGTTAGTGGCCAATATTGACCTTTCATAGATGTACTGATATCGGCATATATGTTGTCTGACTTTCCACAGAACACAATGCAGAAAAGGATACTTGGAGTAATTTAGAATTGGTACCACCACAGAGTTTGTCTCTTGCACTTTCTGCAGCACATGTAGCAGAGTATGTGTCACAGCTGAGCAGATGGTGCTGGGCAGTCAAGTGGTGTCCTCATGGTAATTTGCTAATTAGTTTGAAATACATTGGTGGAAAGTTAATTAGCCTCTCCAGTGAAATAAACCGTTAAAATAACTCTAACATACAGTATGTCGACATCAATACTGAAATTCTTAACTCCCTAAAAATTAGTATTGGTCGTAAAAACCAACATCGGTGCACTTTGGGAGAACCCATTAAACTAGCCGAGCTTGCCTCTGGTGCAGCCAACTGTGGGGCAGGAAAAGGGAGGAAGAAGTATTTTGACTGCTTCTGATTTACATTTAAAAGTCTGCCAATGATGTCTAACATATCCTTCATAAAACACTGCTCAACACCTGAGAGGAGACTACAGACAGACAAATCCAGTTCACTACACAATTAGTTCACAAAAATATTTTGTTGGCTTTTTCTTCGCTCACTAGAGGGCAGCATGGAGTCAGATAGGTTCCTTTTCATAACATTTTTTGGTATATTAAAGAATCTGAAAACCTTTTAATGAACTTGATTTGTAGCAGTTACTCAAATTGTAAAGTTGCAAAACAACACAAGAAACAGAAGAGACTCCTGGTTTCTGTGGGTTCCATGTTTGCACCTGAGGATGACAGTATATGTTAACAAGACCCATAAAACAAACTGCATTTTATGGTAAATAAATAAAACTAGTTTGACTGGAATTTTTTTGGTGTAATGCGTATATTTGTCATATCTGCTTTCATTTTCTTCTTGGTGCATGTTTCCTCCTTAAACATTTGTACTTTGTAAACGGAAACTCTTCCAACTTTTGACAATCCGGCTCTAAATGTGTTCATTTTTCTATTTTAATGGTGTCACACTTAAACTGGCCACCTGTTATATTTCACTTAGAATTTAAAAAAACAATAGGCTCCAGCCCCCCTGCGACCCTCGTGAGGATTAAGCGGTGTATAGATAATGGATGGATGGATTTAAAAAAACAAACAAACAAAAAAAACATTTAAGTGTTAAATGGTCTACTCATGATTTTTAATTAAATTTCAATGTAAGAGTGCAAGTTACAGCATATGGTCAGTGTTCACCTTAAATCAAACTCTTCTGTTTTGTCTAGTTTGTCATCATCTTGCAGTCAGAAAAGTAAAATTCAACATTGCATGACATTTCTACCGTATACTACTAAGAAATAATCAAAAATGGAAAATAAAAAGAGAACTACTCAAACTGCTATACAAAAATGGAAAAAGAAAAACATAGGTAATGAGATAAGTCCCTGAGAAAGCATTTTCGTCTGTACACATTTTACTGAAAATGAAAAAAACGAATACTTTTTAAAAGATTTCTACATCTCTTTAAATGGCCCACACAAGATCCTTTTCAGAATTAACGCAGACTGTAACTGAACTTAATTCGTTCAAAGACTCCAATCTTAAATTTTTGTATCAGCCCATCCAGGATCTTCAAACACCTTGGTACTCCTGTTTGCAGTGTCCAACATAGAGAGGCTCTGCCTGGATACCACGTCTGAACAGAAAGTGAAACGGAAGCATCAGTATATGACAAGAAAACATTATGGGAAAGAGCTCAGTGTCTTCTGGAGGTTTGATTGCACCAAGCTCTTTAAAGAGCCTGATTAGAAAAGGTAAATTACCTCACGAGCTTGCAGCGAAAATCCTGCAATCGGGGAAACGCCTTGTCCACATTGGATGTCTGCTTCTCATCACTCCACAGTCTCTCTGCAGCAGCACTTGCTCTTGGCCTGTGGTTGTAAGTGCAACTAGTGGTTATTTTGAATAGTTTCATAACATTGTTGCTGCACTTCCTAAAATTTGATTTACTACATTGGTGGTTTTGGAGTATTTTTAACCTCGTACCAAAGACGTGGCGTGAGATTGGTCGCATCTACATATTCGCCCCACATGCAGACTTCTCCACCTATCACCAGCTTCTTCTGCTCCTCCGTACCTGTGACGGGAATAAGGACAAGTTTTGCTTTCATAACACAATGAGTTTTAAGGATGAGTTTACAACCGATCACCATCTTCACTTCAAATATATCACACCACTGCAAATCAAAACTGAAAAAGGTAATGTTTAAATGAGTGTCTTTAATTGGCACTGGCAGCTTCCATCACCAGACAAGCGCCATCACCAGCATGTAACTGAGCCAGATTATAATAGTATGTGATATTACTTGGCCATGCACACACCAGAAAAGTTCAGTGGCTGCACAGTGTAGTAGTTGCGCCAGTCCTGGCCATAGGAAATGTGGTTGATGTACCAAGGGGCGGCCAGCACGACCCTCATGCCAGCTTTGGTCATTCTACTGAGCTCATCATGATAGCTAGCCGGGGTGCCCTTCCAGATGTGCAGCACCGTGTCCTTAGGAATCTAAGCAGAATGACAAACAACACGCTGCCACTGATCTGCCTTATGAACCTTTGTAATGATTTATCTCTTTGCATTTTATGTGTCAGAAAATAGTCACATGCAAAAAAAATAAAAACAAATGAAACCTTGATGAGCTTTTATCAGCAGATGCAAGTTTTTGCCAAGGCATGGTTCACAGAATTTGTAGCCCTCCTATGGGGCAACCCAGATAGCAGAATTATTCATTTGGCTCACACACCAGAATGATGGCCAGAGGGCAGTCCGCATGTGGCCAACATTTGGCAGCCAGGAGTGGACCATCATTCCTTTTGGTATGTGGGCCAGATGAAAGGAAAAGATGTGGACAAGAAATATTTTGCTGTATTGGAAAGCATCTAACTCAGCTTTAGTGGATTCCTGACACTGGTTCTTGTGCTGAAAAAATACAATCTTCCCTTGGTTGTTAATAAACTCAGAGTCTCATCAGCATATTGTTCTCTGCATCCGTACCAATTTGGAGCATGCTGTGCACTGGACACGATGGAACCAAGGAGAATGGACGATGAAGTAAACAGTATAAGTCCATGCTTGCAAACAAGTTATCTACCATGACAGACTGCAAAAACCTACAGAAACTACTGCTTTTTTTACATCATTTTTAAGATATGTAATTTTGTTTATCGCTACATTTTTTCCCTCACTGACTCAAGTATGCCACTAAACTAAGCCAGTAATGTGTCTGCAAAAGACAAAGCCATGAATAACTTGTTGACACCTTCCCCCTACACTAAGCAGTTTTGCAAATAACTGCATAATGTTAATACAACATGTGCTACATTAGAAAGAGCGATTTTAACACCATGTTTTAGAGGCAAGTATAAACAGTACATTTATTTTTCTGATAGCAGCAGCAATGGAAATATGCTCCAGCTCCAGATAAAGCCAGATGAATGCATGTGAAGTACCACTGGACCACGCTGGAATATTTGGTAAGTCACTATAATGACGCATAGTCACTTGAATGCTTATCTGATAAGTCATGTGCATGTAGCCTTCCAGCTCTCTTTTGGTGAGTCTTTTGTTTCGCAGTGTAGTCTGAGGGATTCAAGGGATTTTGCATATTAGTTAATCAATGTCAATTTTGTTTTTTTGGCCAGGGGAAAAATTATGCATGTGAGCCATAAAGCTATACAGCAGACAGCATTGTGTAATTGTACCACAGCAGTCACAACTCTGTGTAGCTTCCTTTCTACACACTAATTCTATTTGTTAACCAACTGTGGGAAAGTGATTAAAATAGTTTTCTATGTTATGAGAAACCGTTTGCTATACATTCTTTTTAAAATGAGCATGCTGAATGGAAGTGGGACACAGTAGTTCCTTGTTGCATAAACAGCAGTTCTCACTGCCACCTAGTGGTACGGCTACGAATAGAACATTTTGTGCTGTCAAGAGGTTTTGGCCTAAAAAGGAAACTATATTTTTCTTGTCAGTTATTATTAGAGACAAACGACACACAGCTGTTAGTGCAACTTCAACTCGTCACGGCACACAGGTTTTGTTCTGACCCTTGAAGGCGAGAGGCCACACGGTGTAGTAGCGGGCCCAGTTGTGTGTCGGTCCTGGCTGGTCCAGGTACCACGGAGAGGCCAGAATGACCCTGAGCCCTGCTTTAACCACCCTGCGTACCTCACACAGGTAGCAGCCCTCTCTCCACACTTCCACCACTGACAGAGAACTGCGCTGCAACACAAGGCTACATCCTATCAGACTTACAGGAACGGGTCATGTGATACATTAGCTTGACGTTATGAGACGACAAACTGTTGGATATTGTTGGTCCTGCTTAAGTTAAAATGATAATGTCATCCAAGGTAAGGCTAAACAAAATGGATGGAGTATGTGTCTTACTCCATAATAGTTCATTCGAATTTATTTCAAGCATAATAAGCTAATTCTGTTTGAATGCGACTGCTCGTAGACTGTGTTGAGGTGTGGGGCACAAAAAAGCTCATTATTGTCTTTAAAAATTTAAAAAACCTGGTTTCATAAAGGCCAACAGTGTTCAGTCACATATACAGGAAAACTCTCATTGCTCCGAGAAGAATTTTATATCATGACTTAACTAAAGCTGTGGGGGTTTTTTTTATATGAGATTAAATACGTTCTTGAGTGAATGAGTGAACCAAAATAAATCTGCACCAAATGTCGTAGTGCAAACTTCACAAATGTGGACTAAATACATGGTGATGCAGTAATGAAATTAAATATGTGAAAACTTCTACACAGTGCTATTGTAATTTTTTGCTTATCTGTAAACATTTATGTCATGCATGTGCAGGCAAGTATTTCTAATCATAGCTCATACATTTATTTGAACACAACTAATGCACACAAAAATAACATATTTTCCACTTCATAGATGATGATGTTATTCGTAGGGTTGTACTTACTCGTTCATGGTAGTCAAAAACATCCTGCCATACGATGGATGTCTTATTAAGAGCTGAAGTGATGTTTACAATCCTGGAAACAGATGAATTCATTATTGTGTCAGTCAATGTGTTTTCCTGAGCCTTCTAGGCTGCTTAGTATGTCCTTCTTGACAACCTACTTCTCCATGTAGAACGCTTCCAGTTTGGTGAAGTCTGATCCGAATCCCATCTTCTGCATGAATGCTCGAACATAAGGGTTGGATTTCCTACAATAACAAGCAGAGGGCATCAATTACTCATATTACACTGATTGTTTATCTAACTTTTTAGAAGCTTAATGTTCTTTCAATTAAATATTATGCTAAGGGCTTTCACTTTTTAATTTCATTATGTGAAGAGACAAAAACAAAAGACACGCATATGTATGCAGCACTGTAGTATCTGGCACAGAAGGCTGAAAACAGCAGGACTAGACACTGCAGACAAAACCAGGAAATCCTGGTTGATATCACTGATAGTCAGCAGGCATGTAAATGATTGGCCTACCAGCAGGAAAAGTCAACTTCATCCCCGCCTAAGTGGATATAGGAATCAGGAAACACCGATGACACCTCCTTAAATAGTGCTGCCATAAACTGGTAGGTGGAGGGTAAAGCTGGATTAACCGGACCGAAAGTACCTGAAGGGATTCCCCCTTTGTAGCAGGGAGTCAACAGGTCAGGCTGCCCTGAGAAACATATCATCAATTAGAATTAATTCACAATTTTCCTTAAATACATTTTTTGTTAAGCGCAGACATTTGCTATCACTGCTAGACCATGAAAGTCAAACAGATAAGAAGTGAGACAGTCCATGTCATATTGCCATTTAAAGTCTGAACATAAAGATTTGGCAGAAACTATCTCTGTTGAGTCAAACCAGGCATCATGCCAAGTACTTTATATGTCAAAAAAAAAATCAATATCCTGAAATCATTTGGATAAAACTGTTTTTGTTAATGTTGGTCTTTTACCTTGTCCCCAAGACTTAGTGTGGCCTGGTGAATCAAACTCAGGAAGGACCCTTATTCCCCGCATCCTGGCATATGAGATCACTCTTCTCACATCTGACTGTGTGTAGATGTGAGTCATCGGATGGAAAGCCCCCTGAATCAAAGCCAGAAGTCTGTGTTCAGGGTGGATGCTACTTGCCAGCGTTTTCCTACCTCATGAATCCAAAGCAGCTGGAACACTTAAAATTCTAGATTATAACTTAGCCAAGACTTTTTTTTTTGTTGTTATGTTTTTGCATGACAAATCGTGAGTGTACAGAGTCGCTGTGGACATCAAGAAGTGACTTGTTCTTTACTCAATAGTTCTCTCAATTAGAACATACCTTACTGGAGAGCATTGGGAAGGTGCGGCTCTGGTAAGGGAAGGAGGGGTCATCAACAATGTGCCAGTGGAACACATTGAACTTGCTGTAGGCCATTGCATCCTGACAAGAAACACACAGGTGAATACCAGTGATAATAAGTGTAATCTGTACTGAAACGGAACACTAAAGTTTAGATCCTGTCATCTGATTATTACCAGAGTCTTTAAAATGGCCTGCACTGGTAAATAGTGGCGCGAAGTGTCCAACAAAATCCCCCTGAACTGAAACCGGGGGAAGTCTTCAATGTCAGTCTTGTTGACGAAATACTGAAAATGAAGAAAAACAACAACCACAATCCTATTAATCAAGTATTAGAGCAAGATGAAGATATGTATTCAAGAACTAATCACTTTAAAGACCTCATGAGTTTGAGCACTTTGACTTACTGAGCCAAAATCATCTTGATAGACCAGCTGACTCAAGGTTTCCAGACCTTAATCAGAGGATATATAGTCAATACAAAATCACTGCAGCAGAGATGTGGTTCTACAGACGCATGATACGTATATCATATATGGACAGAATCAGCAATGAAGATGTTTTAAAATTACTAAACACACATTATACGCTATTGAAAACATTTTTTGGACACATCATAAGGAAAGAGACCCTGGAATATATTGTCACAACTGGAAATATGAATAGGAAGAGAGGACAAGGCAGACAGAGAATGAAAATGATAGACGGACTGACATCATGGCTTACACATGGAACGGGCAACAGTCACAATTCAGAAAGCAGAAGATCAGATTAGATGGAGAGAAATGATGGTTGAATGACATGGCGCTTGACTGATAATCATCATTTTAATATGCGATTCAACGGGAAATCCAAGCTGATTGTAAACATGTTTGCTTCATTATTGTACTTTTGTTTTGATGTGTTCTTGAAAAAAAAAAATCAGCTTCAGTCACCTCTGAGTGCACCCCACACAGTTTCTGCTTTCAGAGATGCTCGACCAGCAAAGACACTCATGTTGTCTGAAACACAAATAGCAGCAGGTTAGATAATGCATCCAGCCACATTTACTGTTACACATTTTAATCTGTGGTTCTCTATGCATTTATACTTACACCTTTCAGATGAGTTTTCATCTGGGTAACCGTCACAGTCAGCGCGGTCAACACTGACTTCGACAGTAAACGGTTTGTCCGTGCTGAATCGCAGGATGCCATATGCTGTTGATCATAAAAGCTCAATTATTACTACAGCTGCTGGGTTAAAGTTTGTCTCTGTGTAGCTTCACTTTCACCATGTCACAAACAAACCGCCATTATTCTACAAGCAATGGTATTTTTGAAAACACAAGCATGAAGCTGTGCTACTCTGGCCCATTGTCATCGTGGGTTTTTAGAGTTGGTGGGCTGAACTGCTGCCTATACAAAGCCCATTGATCTTCTTTAAAGGCCAACAGGACAAACAGAACATTCAAAACAAAACCACAGTGGGCACTTTGCTCTCCATTTTTTGGACATTTACAGTGAACTTTTTAAACGTGTGTTATCACCAGATCGTCTGTTCCTAATTGACACAGAAGAATCTAAATAGATAGTTTTAACACACATATTATGAAGCCTATAGTTTGGACTTTTGTACACACAGTACAGTCATGACTTGGCACAACATGGAGGGAAATCTTACTTTCGTTTTCACAACTAAATGAATTCCACCTACCAGAAGTGTAGTCGGGAAAAATCAGAGAAAAGTATCTCTTGAAAGCTTCATCGAGAACAGAGCAGCCCTGCTGGGCGGCTGATTGTCTTCCGTAGCCAAAGTAGAAAGCCTGAGGGCTCAGAGGGAAGCGCTCCGTGGAGGAGATCAGAGTCTGGGGTAGCGGCCACACTCCCTCCGCTGTGTGGAGGCCAAGCTGGAGGATCATCAACAGCAGCAGATAATACATGGGACGAGTTTGTTGTCCAGAACTAACAGCAGACATGACTCCAATCTGAGCCTGTTCACCTGCACTGGTAAACGGCCCGGTCACACTGTTCCTGTCAGGTGCGGGAGTCACGTGACTGAGCCACAGGACAAGACGATTCATAGAATAAAATGGATTATCATTTTAGGTATTATGATGACAATTATTAGTCATTTTACTATCATTTTTGCTAAAGCAAGTTTATTGTATAGCACCATGTCATTCACAGAGGGCATTCATAAAACATGCAAAAATACTAAATAGAAAATACATCATTTTAAACTTTAAAAAAAAAAAAAGTACTGACAAGTTAAATAAAGCGCACAGAAATGTTATAGGGTAAATAAAACTGATCGAATAGAATAGAAAGAAAGAGACCAAAGATTAGAAAAATAAAAACATGTTAAAAAATGTTTAAAAAGGCACAGACGGAAATAAATTCTAAGTAGATGAAAGTGCAAAACAACAATCCAGACAGTCAAGACCAGTTTCACCAGTTGGCAGCATTATAACTAAACGCCATGTCACCGTGTCTGGTCCAAGCTCTGGGTACCATAACTAACCAGGTCCCAGCAGGTCCCAGATCCCTACCAGGCTTCAGCTTCATCTATATTTAATTTATTGTAAACCATCTAAGGATTTAAGAATTAGAAAGGGTGCCACTTGGTGAAGTAAATGGTTCATTTAGTTTATCTATCTATCCTATTATTTATCTTTTTTTTTTCTTTACTGTAAATCTACATCTATATTTGATCCGGCATTTGAATCAGATGTACGAGACAAAATGTAGGCTACTAAAAAAAAAAAAAAGCCCTACTGACTTACAAACTCAAACGCCACAGTTGTGTAGTTCTCCTGCTCGCCATTGGCCTTTATCTTACAATGGGGGAGTAGTTTTGTAACTTGCTAACAACCTTTGCTACAAGTTAAAATTCGACGTACAATGTTATTTTTTTTTAAATATATAAATATATGTCTGGAAATGTACGGACGGAAAGTGAAGTTTGTCATTTAATAATGTTTTTACATCTTCTTGTTCAGTCCATCTGACGTAAGGCGTCGTCAGTTGGTGACGCTGTGTCTCTTTGTTGGCTTAGCAGCGGCGACGTTTTGTTGTTATTTTCGCTGCAGCTGAAAAACAGGCTCGGATAATTTGGGTTTTCGTATTGTTCCGCAATCAACATCTCACACGCCGTAGACCTTTAGGTGTGCTTGTCACAAGCTGATAACCACCTTAGGAATGGACTCAGACGAGGGTTATAACTATGAATACGACGACGAAGAGGAGGAATGTAGCGAGGACAGCGCCGAAGAGGAGCCCGAGGACGACACCCTGGAGCTCGGAGAGGTGGAGTTGGTCGATCCCGTGGTGGCCGGTGGGGAGCGAGATGAGTGCGGCGAGACTGGCGGAGGTGGCCACGGTCCTGGCGAGGAAGAGGAGGAGGACTACCGCTTCGAGGTTTTGACTGCCGAGCAGATCCTCCAGCATATGGTGGAGTGTATCAGGGAGGTCAACGAGGTCATCCAGGTAGGTATTTTGGTATGTCAGCGTCAGGAAAGACCGGGGTCCGGGCTGGTGAGCAGCGTTAACAGGCCATGGACGTTAGCTCAAATGTTAGCCGTGTAGGAGTAGTTTACTTGCTGGAAGTTGACAGTTACACAAGACTAATAAGATTGATCCAGTGCTAAATTCGTTTATTTTCAGCATAGCTCTCTTCTGTTACATATAGTTGAAAAGGAAGATGAGGACAACGTTCAATATAAATGTCAAAATAACTATTTCCATAGGAGTTTTGTTCCAGGAAGTAGTCTAATCCCGACCGAGAAGTTGGCAGCAGCGCTTGCTAAGCTAACGTTAGCTTGCAAGTTAGCTAGCTGGCTACCTAGCCAACTGTAACCGCTAGCTAACGTTAATGGAAAAGGATAACGTCTTTGGGTCTAGATTTAGATGGCGTTAGGTGCCAGCTCATATTTGACGACAGTTGGGCTGCGTTAATGAATTAATTGAAACTTGACGTTACAAATAATGTAAAATAACACTGCCATTAACGTTATTTTAATGTTAGACATAAGGCTTGGCCATCGAGTTGGTTAGCAAGTTGCATGCTAGGTTAGTTACGATAATGTTAACAAGCTTTTTATCATGACTTCTAAAAAAGTTTGGATGGAGCACACTCGGATGGTGGAAGTTGTCAACGGGTATAGATTAAATTTGTGGGAAACACGGCGGAGCTCATCGTCTTAACCCAGCGTTAACTTGGGCCTCCATTTCCTTTCACGTACTTGAGCTCAGAATAAAATGGAAAGTGGTCTTGATAGACCTACCACTCTTTGGGGTTTTTCGAGAATGGGCGTTGAATTTTTCATAGTCATTTTTTCACTATACACAAGACTTAAAAGTAAAATAGCTAAAATATCAGTAATGTGGGTACAGTACAGCTGCATGGCAGTCGTTTCTACTGCACAAAAAAACAAGTGACATGGTGATTCTTTAAAAAAAAAAAAGCCATTTAAATCTAGCAACTAAATTTTCATATTATTGCAACACTAATATATACCTTTATTCATCTATAGTCACAGATCTGTTTTGTGATCTGAAGTTTTAGAGTAGTGGACTTGACTTGAATGTACTTTTGTTGTAAATGTTTCTAGTGACTGTGTCTTCACATGTCAGGAGTGACAGTTCTTCCTGGCCCCTGAAGATGCTTCAGGGGTAAAGTTACCAGTGACTGATGGCTGTTTTTCAACTGTAAATTTCAGAGAAACATAACAGGCAAGGCTTGTGTTAACTTGTTCCTTGAAATTATGGAAAGAAATTTCTTATTTTTTGCCAACTACATATACATGTGAGGCTAGATCAACTTTGAAGAACGCCTCTCAGTGTAACTCAAAACAGTTTAACAGCACCACAAACTACAGCCTTTGAAATGAGTAAAAAATGTAATCAGCACCTCACTAAAACATTATCAAGAAACACTGAACTTTTTAACCTTGCTGAAGAAGGGATATATTGCAGGGTTGTTGTAAAGTGTGCTCGTTTTAGCCAGATGTCCCTAATAAACGTTAAATATAGTATGTTATCAGTACATTGGAGTCAATGCTGTGATTTGTTCTCTTAAGGTGTATCCTTCCTAATTGCATATGGTTTTATGTGGGAACCATTAGATTTTATGGCACTTAAGCCTTTTGCCTGTTTATGCCTGTGTGACCTTCGAGTGACGGCACATATGTACATGTGGTGAATGTGAATCTCTCACGGATGTTTGCGAAACTGCTAATAAACGTTACACAGATAACACAACTTACAGTATAACATACTCTCTTTTATCATGAGACACTCATCACTAAGCACATCACAGAAAACTGTATTTTAAGAATATTGTGTCATGAATAAAATGGATGTAGTACTACAAGTATTGTTTAGAATAACAGGAACATAACAACCCATAAAGTGCTTTCTTTAAACAGTGGAACCATGCCCGTGGACTGTAACGTACTCGACTGTATGCTACAGCGGCAGCATCATTCCCATTTTAAAATGGACTGCAAAATATCTACTGTAATGCATTGAACCATTCAATTAGCAAAAAATATTTATGCAATTCTGAATCTGGTCCAGTTATTTTGCTGGTGCATAGATTCTATGCCTGTAGTAAATATTGGTACCTTTATTAATAGGGTGGGTTTGTTAGCAGTTCAGAGGGGGATGACTTTTGTGTGACTTTTTTTCTTGTACTGTTTGAAAAATGAGGACATCAGTGTTCCTTCATATGTCCCTCTACTGCTCTCCTAAGTAAGATCTGTCGTAATGCAGTGCAATACAAATTTTTGTCTTGTGCTGTTTAAAGGAATTTTTTTCATTTCTTGAATTCTTTTTTGGAATGTAGATTTTTGGCAACAAACAACCACACGTCTATGTGGGGTTGGGCTGTACACACATGTACCGTATGTCTATGATTATATATCACAATATATCACAAACGTAATTTTTTCGCTGCACTTATTGAATCTGGAATCATCAGTTCAGGTTAACTGCAGTTTGTTTTTTCTCATGCTGAAACATTTTCCATTCTCGTCAGTCTGAGTGGTATCTGCTCTTGTAGATGCCACCGATGACCAGCATTCATTTGTTTGCATCTTTACATTTTCTTTGTATGCCACCTTTAAAATTTGCTTTTCTTCTTATTATCTAACGGCAGGGAAACATCCCACATGGAACATAGTAAACTGGAGCAGGTTTTGTCTCAACGTGACCAGAGAACAAATGGAAGGCAGCATATAGAAAACCCAGAGTGGCTCATGAATGATTATTGAAAGCAGCAGCTACGCTCTTCTCACATAATCACGCATGGCTTCAACTAAAGAGTTTAGTGAGAAATGTAGAATTTGAGTTGTTCCTACTCCACGAAACTGGTGGTAGAGACTGTTATATGTCTGTGAAGGTAGTCTGGTCGCTCATGGCGACCCAGCGCTTTACCAAGAAACTTCTTGTCAATTTTTCCTTTTAGTTTGTTCACCATTTTTTGTATTAAACAGCTCTGTGCCTTTAATGGCATGGCCAGACCTAGTTTGGTGTGGTGCAGGGTTGGAAATTCAACATCAGTCAACCAATGTCTTTTACAGATATGGTGATTGTTAACTGACTTGTGCAGTTATTGACTTGGTGACGGGGTATATTCACTATTTTCATTGGTGACTTTTTTCTTATATGCAACCAAGTTGGCTTTACAAATGTAGCCAATAGCAACAAGGCAATAAAAAATGGCAGTAGTTTGAAAACAACTGTAAAGAATCTATTTGCATTAATCACAATCACAAGTTTGGTCTCCTACAATTTAATTAACATTATAGACTGTGAAAGTTTAAAATGTGTGCTTTATTCATAGAAAACTCTATTAATGGAAAACATCCACTGTAGATAAAGTCTCTTGGTTTCAGGTTAAATCTGACACAGAACACTTTACTTCACTCTTTTGAAAAGAATTTTTGGTCACACACATCTGAGTATCTGCCTTACAGTAACTGAGTGAGGAAACTAGAGACTCCGATGTGTACAGCTGCTCAGCTAGCATGTCACACAACCTGCATG